ATCAAAGATATTTGGCAGTTGATACAACTTGGATGCACGGGTGAAGTACTAAAGACGTTGAGGTTGGAATAAAATATATTTTGTTCTCTTAACATTCTTTTCCCCTTATTTTTTGTTTTCGTTTTTTTTCTTAATTTAAAAATTGAAGAGACATGTTATGATACTAGATATTCTGTCCTTTTCTTTCTTTATCATGGATTGGTGTTTGCATGCATACAATTGCCTGATTTGCTTACATATTCCTATATCAGTGACTCTTCTGAGTTTTTGACACTTGCAGGAGTTGGAAGAATGTGTTGGCAACACTCACTACTGGGTCATCTCCCGGTTCAATAGCTTTTATGTTGCAATATTTAAGGGTTGTGAAACTGATGGCAAAGATATGGCTGCGCTTTATCTCCCCAAGAAAAGTCTGCCTTTATGGAATGGGAGAGGTGGGTCTCTTATTGGGAAAACTAGACACAACCCTTAGAGAAATGAGGTATAGGTTCATAGGGTTGAGTAAAGAAGAGGAGTTGCATGTCTTGGAGCTGATATTACTGAATTTTATACTAAGGTTGTCCAGTGTTGAAGTCTACTATGATTTTACAACTTTGAAGAATCTGCATTCTACATTGTCACGGGTAGAATTTCTCCATGAGGAATTATCCATTCAACCTTCCAATTTCGTGACTGAACTCAAGAAATCATTGCACGAGATTGGTTTCTCTACTGATGGACCTTTCTACACCCCATTTCTGATTCAGAAGTTAGTTGAATTTTTCTCCTTGAAGCAGTTTGTCTTCTGTGGAAAACTCAAGCACATAATTGCAGAATTGGACGTTCATGATAATGACTTTGAAAATCCTTTTCACTTCATTTCAGGGCTTCCTGTTGGTATACCATTAGAGATCACTTTGTATAATATCTCGAGGGAGAATAGGTTGTGGCTGCAACTGGCTGTGGATGAGACTTTAACTGAATTTGTTTTCTTGGATTTGGAACGATTTGGAGGCAGCAACCAAATCAGGAAATTCACATTCGTTGCACCCTTCTACAAAACTCCAAAAGCAAATTCTTTTTCAATGAGGGTTTACATTGGTATGGAGTGCTTGTCTGAGGATGTTTATTCATTCAAAAGACGTGGGGGTCCAAAACGGGAGTTAGTTTTTCTGTGCAAGGAAAAGGAAGTGTTTCTTTCAATGGGTGTGAAAGAGTGATTGGTTATTTTATTTTCCTTTGGGTAAACAGTATCGCATTGAAAAGATAGACCACATGTTTTTATGTTTAAAAACTGCAGGCTTGCTGATCAATCTATTGAGAAAATGACGTGGACCCTTTTTTCTTTTACATTCCCATGGACTTTGAAGTAATTTAGAAGGGAGTAATATATGTCAGCTAATCATCACATTCTTGGACAATAAATGTCCTTGTATTTGTGTGGAAAACAGAGAGGGCCAATCTTTCTCAAGCATAAGAGGTATGCTGATGATTCTATAAGAAGTTTGAGATGAATTGGAGATGAAGCATGTGCTGTTCTGATCATATTGTTCCAGCACTGGCTTCCAGTAAAGACAGTGAAAGCAGCAGCCTCGGGAAGAGATGACACCAAATGGTAATCTACCAACTCTTTCCATTTATCCGAAGTGCTTGATTCCAGACTTGAGTTTGCACTTTGCATATGATTTTCTTCTTTGAACTCTCATCACCTTGAATAAAGGGATATTGTGTGATGCAGATGCTCTATGCATTTTGGAACAATCTGGAGGCTAACTTCTCTTAAAGGTGCCTTTAGTCCTCCACTGTTTCTCTTGGTCTGCTCAATTACACTCGCAGTTCATGCCTGTTACATTTTCCATTATATACTTTGTGTTGTTGTCACACAGCTGTGTTTGTGTGTCTGGCAAGGATGTGAAGAACTTCCTGCCATTCCGCCAACCTTTAATTCTGACATTTCCTCCCTTAGCCAAAGGTGCCCCTGGAAGTAGTTCTCATTTGACATGGCAGTCAAAAATCTTACCAAAAAATTTGCTTCTGGTACGTATTCTCTATAATCCAGAGATCAAACAGTAAAGCTGCTAAATGGGAGGTGGTTATTAAAACTAGATCGGGATTGTTGTCTATACTTCTGGGCTATTGCAATTGCGCTGTCCAATTTGAAATCACGTAAAAGAAGAATTAGTGTAAACTATCAATAAATCTTAATAGTTTGTCTTAATTTATCAAATCTTATTTAAAAATAAGTCATAATAAAATAATCGCTAATAATTTTTTGTGATGATTTTTGGCATGTCGCTTAAAATTAACAATTTGTGACTTTTTTTTGTCACTTTTTTTTTTCAATATAAATTATCCTTAAAACTTACAATTAGTGACGTTTTTCTATGATGAATTTTTTAAATTGTTGTTGAAAGCTAAAAATTAGTATTTTTTTTTTTTTTGTGATAATTTTTTTAAACGGTGACTAGAAGTTTTATGATTAGTGACAAAATTTTCAAAAACTATTGTTAAAAATTAACAATTAGTAATTTTTTTAATAGTGTTTGATGAAAAATGTCATTACTTGTTATAAGACTTGCACGTAAGTTTCTTATATATCTATATTTTTAGACTAATGTTATATGCACCAATAAGTGTATTAATTAGTATACCGATTGATGGTGTGGCATAATTTAAGATATTTTTAGTATTTGTAATTTGTATAATGAGTGAGGTCAATAATACTGTCATAACTAGTGTTGGTATACTAGTTAGTAAATTAATTAGTGCATGTAACACCACTCATATTTTTATTCAAATAATGCTATATGCACTAATTGGTATACTAATTAATATACTAATAGATGATGTAACATAATTTAAAAGTTTTAGATATTTGTAATTTGTATAATGGGTGGAGTCAGGAATAATGACATAAAGTATGTTGGTACATTAATTAGTATATTAATTGGTACATATAATATCGCTATCTTTAGTCTTTAGAGAACCCGGAATCCATTAATGTGCATTAATGTTTAATTTTGTGACATTTATTTATTCATCAAATTTATTATTTTGTCGAACGGGATCCAGATCTATACTATATATTAAGTACAAGGGGGTTTTTAACTCCAAGTTTTGTGGGAGTTCTAATCTCTTTATTTAAATTTCTTGATTTTTTGATTTAAAAAAAAAAAAAACCTTAACATTTATTAACTTCTCCCAATCCCCAAGTCTTACCATCATAATAACACTTTAATGCATTAAGAACAAGCATAAAAAAAAATTATTTGAAATCCAACACATATGAATTCCTTGAAAAGTCTCAACGCATATGATTATTATCTCTCATAATAATACTTTAATACATTAAGAACAAGCATAAAAAAATTTCTTGAAAAGTTCAACACATATGATTATTATCAAAAATATTAAATTTTAATATAATATAATTAAAAAAAGACATTTAATTTCTTAAAATTTTAGCACATGATTATTATCAAAATATTAAACTTTAATATAATATAAAAAAAAA